CATGGACACGACCTTTCTTTTCTGTTGCATACAAGCTACAAAAGTCACTGGCTGTTACGTAGCACAGGGTCATGATACCTAGCATCAATGTTCAGCCAACACACGACAATATGTTGGTGACCGAAGGGAAGCCACAGTCAAGTTCAGACTCTGAAGTATGCAGCAGCATGATCAGTAAGCACGTAGGCCTCTGTTGGGTTCTGTCCATAGGCCTACAGAGGGGATGTTGGCTCAGGACTGATTAACGTATGACGGGCAACCTCTTTTGTGAATAGTCAAGTAGCTAGCTAGTATGCACTCAGCCACACTGAGTGGCTCCTGTAAGGTTGTCCAAGATCAACACAGCAGCTGCACCCGGGGAACTTGCCAGAAGCAGGACTCTCAGCCTTGCCTTATCTAACCATCCAGAAAGAACATCTGAGTAGAATCCAGTAGTTTGTGTTTTAATGAGTTCTCTAGGGGATTTGGACACCCCATATAGCTTAAGACCCAATCCCTTCAGGACCCTGTCCCTCCAGGTGAAGTCTATGGGGCTTTTAATTGTTTTTGTTTTTATGGTGTGTGTGTGTGTGTGTGTGTTTGTGTGTGTGTGTGTGTGTGTTAAGAGTCTTGCTTTGTTTCAATGGCTGGCCTGGAGTTCACTGTGTCACCCAGTCTAGACTGAAATTCACATCTGCTTCTGCCTCCTGAGTGCTGGGATTACAATCTGGTCCTTCTCCCCTCCCCACAAGCCTCCAGGAGTTCTTCATTCCCATGGCTTCAATACCCACCAGATCTGGTCTTCCCTTAGGCTTGCAACAGTTCATACTGCTTTCATGCAACCTGGCTCCTGGGACCAAGAGTGGAGGCTTAGAAGGGGTTACTGGCTCGGAAGGCTTCCTGTGCATCTGTGAAGTTGTTGGCATTCGGCAGGGTACAGGCTGTTTCAGGGTGCGGCTTACTAAGTATGTGCAGAGAGATGGGCTCTACCCTTCCATCTCTTCTACAGTTTCTTTTTTTTTTTTCTTTTTTTTTTTTAAAGATTTATTTATTTATTTATTTATTATATATGAATACACTGTAGCTGTCTTCAGACACACCAGAAGAGGGCATCAGATCTCATTACAGATGGTTGTGAGCCACCATGTGGTTGCTGGGATTTGAACTCAGGACCTCTGGAAGTGCAGTCAGTGCTCTTAACCACTGAGCCATCTCTCCAGCCCCCTTCCATCTCTTCTTTCCCTTAGATCTCCAGGTATGAGGCAGACCCAGTTGCTGGGCACCTTACCCCTAATGTCCATTCCTCACTACCTCATGAAGGTCTTCAAGAACTCAATATTCATCAGTATATGGGTGCAGAAGTTGGGGTATCTGTGGTCACCAGCAGGCTATATGGTAAGATAACCTAGGCATTGTTGTCTTCAAGGCCCCAGACCCAGAAGAATGGGTTCCATTGTCCCCCCAGGTCTCCAAAGCCCACTGGGTGCAAGGTTTCGGGAGGCCTGCTTCCATATCCTTGGCTTGCCCACTGGACAAGAGTCCTGCTTATGTACCAGACCCTTGTCCATCATGGAAGAGGCTGGCCCAGAAAGAACTATGAGAGGGTGCTGAGGTGAGGCAGATGTCCTTATTGAGGCTAGGAGTCTTTTGTGTTGGTGGGGCTGGGGGTCTGGGTCTGCCAAGGTGGAGATCTAACGCACTTTCTGCTCTTTTATACTCTTAGGACAGCGAGTAAGCAAATTGCTCTCAAAGGCCCCAGTAGGGTGCTTATTGTCCCAGGACACAGGAGCTTGAAGATGGAGGATCATCAGTTTGAGGCCAGCCTGAACTATATAGTGAGTTGTTGTTGAAGAGAGTAGGGGAGAGGGGAAGAAAGAAACATGGGGTGGGATTTGGTGAGAGGTGCCGTAGTTCTGGATATTCAAGAACATGCTACTGAGCCAGCAAGATGGCTCAGTGATAAAGTCACTTGCTGCCAATTCTAATGACCTGAGTTCAATCTCCAGGGCCCACTTGGTGGAAGGAGAGAATAGACTGTACAAGTCGTCCTCTGCCCCCGCCCCCACACACCTACACACACACACACACACACACACACACACACGGTTTAAAATCAAAACAGAGCTAACAGTTATTTCACTCTGGTGAGGGCTCTTGTCTGTCATGTGGATGATATGCTCTGTTGTAGGGGGTGAGGGGGGAGGAGAGACAGACTGAGAAGATGGCAGTCAGTACAAGGCCAGAGAGTGATGTGGGCTGGTCTTGCTCCTTTATAACAGCTTGCTCACACACTTTGTGAGACCAGCATTTGTTCATTCTGTGGGGAGGGGCTGTGCCCACAACCTAATAAGCCCCCATTAGGCCCCCATCTCTTAAAGCTCCCCCACTATTCACAGTGCCACACTGGGGACCAAGCTTCTAAATCCTAGCAAGCCTTATATGACCTTCTCTATCTGGCTGCTTTCACTTAACATGCTTTTCTTCTGCAAAAATGTCATTGTGAGGAGCTAAATAGCTATGGGGTTCACTGGGTCTATAGGCCTGTCTGAGGCTAGACCAGGCTGGAACTCACAGCAATCCACCTGCTCCTGTTCTGGGATTGAAGGTGTGCAGCACCACACTTGGCTTACAATCACACTTCTAAACTTCCCAACTGAAGCTCCTGGCTCCCTTCCTCTTTCTAAAGCCGCCTGTTGCTGTGTGCATGACTTCCATGGGCGTCTTCTCCTTCCTCCCAGCAGCTTTGAGACTCACAGCTTGCCCGCTCTGCAAGCTCTCCTTTTAAACTGTAATAACTTGTCCTTGAGCTTTAAAATTATTTTTCATTGTAACAAAGCATGCATACAAAATTTATCACCTTTACTAGTTATAAGTGTGAGAGTCATGGGCATTAACAACACTCCCCAAATTACGCTGCCATTACCACTAATCCGTTCCAGAATTTCTTCATCATCCCAACAGGAATTCTGTGCACATTAAACAACCACCCCTGGTCCTTCCCACAACCCCTTGATGCTTCTCTACTTTTTCTGTGAATTTGCCTACCCCAGGACTTCATCTATTATGTAGTCTTTTGTGCTTGGCATGGTGTTCTTCAGTTGTATTGTCATTGTAGCATTTATCAGTACCCTGCTCCTTGTTATGAGCCAATAATAGGCACTTCATTCTGCAAATGATGGCGGAGATTCATTTAGAAGGCCTACACTATGCCAGTGCCTGGCAAGAACTTCACTTAATGTTATTTTCTTTATCCCAGGTATTTATAGCCTAGTAGTTTCCATCGTAGAAAACAAACTCAAAATCCAGAGGGGAGAGGTTACTTTCACACAGGGCTCACAGCTGCTGAGTGGCTGAACCAGTGCCTAGCTAAACTCTGTGGTGTTTCAAATTCCAAGTGCCTGTGGAGCTTTACAAATGTGGAGTAGAGGGGCCCAGAGAGATAGCTCAGCTTTTAGGGGTGCTTGCTGCTTTTCCAGAAGACCCCAGTTCAGTTCTCAGCACCCATTTCAGGGAGTCCCCAACTGCCTGTCACTCTAGCTCCAGAGAATCAGACGCTCTCTTCTGGGCTCTGTGGGCACAGATGCACTTAGATGCATTTAGAATGCACGTGCACAAAACCACACACAACCGCACACAAACACATAAGGAAAAGTTAAATATTTTGAACAGAAGAGAAATGGAGTCAGATTTGTGGACAAGCAGGCAGAAGACCAGCTAGAGCAAGCACCCACTTGAGAATATGTTAAGGGAGGCGCTAAGAGAGGGTTCCCCACCATTTGATTTCTCTCCCTGTAGCCACCCATCCTGGCCCTCTCTAGCAGGCTTTGCTACTTGCTACCTGCACCTCAGTCACAGAAGACTCCTGACTGTTGCCTTTTGCAAGCCCCCACTTCAAGTCTTGTCTCTGACCCACAGTCAATGCTTAGGCCTCTGCAGTCAACAGCCACTCAGGCCCAAGGCCCTTAGATCACTCTCAGTTTACTGCTGCCTTTCTGTAGGGCTCTCTGAGACACCACAGCCAGCAGACTGATGCTGTCTAAGGAGCAAGAAGGCAGTTTGGTTCAACACAACACAGTAGCTGGTGTTGGTTCAAACTTTGGGAGTCTGACTCCCGAGTAGTTTAATTTGGGCTTATTTAAGAACAGCACAATTGGGTGGAGATTTTTCTGGTGAAAATTAACTCAATCCTGTGTACACAGCAAAGCTTAAGACATGACAGCATCGAGACTTTGTAAAGCACAAGGGATGCCATCTATAAATCTGGACTAATCCTATAGAGTAACTGAGAAGAACAAGCTTGTGATAAGGACTAGGGGAGAATCTGTGGAGTCTCAGCCACACAGATTAGTGCAAAGGGCTCCAGGCTGTTAACCAGCCTTCTGGGCAGAAAACAGGTTCTACATCTCTCTCTTTGAAGAGACAACCCTGTGTGTTTAACTTTCCTGTTCCCTAGGGCTTATCTGTGAGCACGAGGGCCTCAGGGCCCTATACCTTCCACCTTGAGTATCTCTTTCATTACACTCCTGCCCTGCTGAGGAATGGCTGCCTTCCTCAGGCCTGATGCTCCCGTCCGAGGTACTGTCTGCCATCAAATTCTGCAGGGGGACTTACAAGCAGTATTAGAACGACCCAAACAGTTGTGTCCAGGTATCAGCCCATGGGGAAGATTGGCAATGAGGTTAAATTTTTGCCTAAGAGATTTTCTGTCCCCTAATCAATCTCAGTGTCATTGTGAATGTGTTCTGAGAATAGAGACAACTTTTTTTTTTTTTTTTGTATATGGTAGGAATTGAACTCTGGACTTCACCCTTGCTAGACAAGTGCTCTATCACTGAGCTATATCCCCAGCCTGCAATTCCTTGCTCCCCTTCCTTACCATGCCCCACCCCACACACTCCTCACCACTCCATCCTTAAGAGCTGGAACCTACCGGTATTCTACCTACCCTACCCTCTCTCCCTGCCCCAGTTCCCCCACACTACGATGAGTCTTCCAAGAAAAACACAGAACAATTCAGAGTCCAGTAATGTCTCCAGAAGCTTGATACAGAGGTGGCTTGAGGCTGGACGAAAGGTTATTCTGTAGGCCCAGAGTCATCAGTCTCCTGTGGTCCCTTACTGAAGAAGGCTAGGCTGCAAACCCTAAGGCCCACTATGGTCTCCTTTAGACATATCCAGGTCTCCTTTTCCTCCTCCCCTCTGATGTTTTAGCAGGTCCTGCCTTGGATAGGTAGTGGACGGGTATGGCAAGCCGGTCTTTAATCAGGGTTTGGTAATCCTTCACAAGGTCTTCGCTCAGGGGCACAGTGGGCTGCCGAGCCAGTTTCAGGGCCTTCTCCTGGTAATGAGGCTGAAGATTTGGGCAGGGCCAGTTCTTGCAGCAATCACTGGGAATTGGGTTGGGTAGGAACTGGAGGCCACAAGGCACAAGCCTTCCACCAGTAGATATGTACTGGGACCTGTTGGGAAAGTGGTTCAGAGACAACAAAAGTCAAGGGATGGCGCCAGGCATGGTAGGGAGAGAAGGAAAGATAACAATTTCTACCAGCTATTCTGGGCTCAGGATATATGCCACACGGCCTGCACTTTAACTGTGCGCTGTGGCAATAGTTGAACCCCAGGATCCAGATGAACACATCTCATCCTTTGCACAATTATATAGAAAGCACTCAGGTTTTTTTTCTTAAATATGCTTCTTGTTACATATTTTATTATATTAATTTTACTATTTTAGGTATGTGAATGTCTCGCCGGTGTGTAACTACTTGTTAGCATGGTATCAGTGGAAGTCATTAGAGGGCGTGAGATCCCCTCCCTCAGACTAGACTTTCAGACGATTGCAAGCTGCCATGTGGGTGCTGGGAATTGAACTGCTGAGCCATCTCTCCAGCCCTTCACCTAGATTCTTTTTATATCTGTACGTGCTGCTAGGGATCGAACCCAGGGTCTTACATGTGCTCGGTCAGCACTCCACCACTGAGCTACACCCTAATCCAATTATCCGCTCTTTGGTTTCTTCACTCTTCTTTTCAGCTCAGTGCGTGATCCATGCTGGTCTCCATTTTGGGATCTTCTTGCTCCACCTTCAGAGTGCTAGGATCCCAGGTTTCTACCGCCCTGCCTGACTCTATTTCAGGGTTCTGTCTAGATTCCAGCTGTTCTTCACATCTCCCCTGTTCTGCTAATGCAGTGTATACAGGAAGACCGCCGAACTCAGCGTAGCGTAGCAGACGACTTCCTCTTCATTGTTGGCCTGTAGTATTAAATTGAACAGTAGCAAATTGACTTAAAAACAACAACACGGTTGAAAAGTAGCAGATTTTCTGTGCTTCAACAGGATCTGTGCTCAGTTCAGTAGATATTCCTGTTTGCTGCTTCGAGCCTCTGGCATCGTGGGCAAGAAACTATATTCCTGACCCATGTCCCCACCCCTGTGATTTTTTTGAAAAATTCCCCAGGGATGTAGCCCAGCAGTAGAAACCTTGCCAAGCACATACACGACCTTGAGTTTCTATCCAGAGAGTCCTAGGGATTAAGATAGACTCTCATATAGCCTAGATCAGGCCCAGTTTATGTGGGGTAAGGCATTGAACCTAGGACCTCATGCATGCTGGGTACTCTACCAACTAACTGAGCTTATGCGCCTACCCACCCTCTCTTCTGAAAGAGGGTCTCATGTTGCCCAGGCTAGCATCTAACTGTAGCCAAAGATGGCCTTGAACTGATCGTCCCACCTTAGTCTCTCCCAAGTGCCAAGATTATAGGCATGTCCCATCATGTCCCACACAATTGTATGACTCTTTCTGAAGATGCCCGTATGACACACACTAGTCACTATGTATGGACAGCAGAGAAAGCTAGGGTCCCCAAGGTGACTCACCTCAAAAAGTCGTATTTAACCTTTAATGTCATATTTTAAAAGTTATATGTGGATATACACATGTGTATATGGTACATGCATGTGGTGTGTGCATATGAGTGTGCAGGTGCTAGTGCAGAGGCTGGAAGAAGTCATCTGTGCCCTGCTCCTTCGTTTTCTGCCTTACACCCTTGAGACAGAGTCTCTCACTGAATCTGAACCTTAACATTTAGTCAAGGCTAACTGACTGGTGAGCTCCCAGAATCTGCCTGTCTCCATCCTCCAGTGTTGCTGGGTTGCGAGCGTGGATGGCTGTACCTAGCTTTTTCTATACAAGTGCTGAGGAGTCAGACTTGGCTTCTTACGCTTTCGCAACAAGTGCTCACCCCCTGAGCCATGTCCACGTGAGTGCCTGTGAGCTGGGGGTGGGGCCTGGCCCTGCTAAAGGTGCTAAAGGCCTCCTGAGCTGCACTTCCATGCTTCGCTGGTTTTGTTATTTTTAATTGAGTATCTCCAGATGTGGTGGCACACACCTTTAATCCTAGCACCATGAGTTCCAGGCTAGCTGAGGCTACAGAGAGACCTTGTTTCAAAAAAATTCTCTTAGAGCTGAAGAGATAGCTCAGTAGTCAAAAGAGCTTAGTGCTCCATCAGAAGAGTGGAGTTCAGATCCCAGCATCTATGTCAGAGCCTCACAAAATCCTGTAACTCCAGCTCCGAGGGATCCAATGCCCCTTTCTGGCCTCCATGAAGCACCTGTACACACACACACACACACACACACACACACACACACACACACACACAAACACACCACCCTATGAGGGACAGGCATGAGAGAAGCTATATAATTCCCAAGCAGTCCCCTCTACTGTCTTACTGCTGGGACCACTCCAGCTGAAACCAGATGGTTCAAACCCCTCCCCTGTAACCTTCTGAAGGCCTTCTAACCTTCCAACCTTAGCCCTGGAGATCTTTCTTCCAGGAACCATGAGCTTGCCTGTTAACTCTCTGGAGGCAGAGATGGCACCTCCTGTGTCTGCCCTCCTCTCCTCCCTAACAAGATAACACCTAACTTTGGTTCAATTTCTTTCTCCCATCTTTCTTTTCTTTTCTCTGTGGAGGATAGAACCTAATGCCCTGAGCATGTAAGCAAGTATCGCCCCACGGAGCTACACTCTAAGCTCCTCGAGTACCGGTTACACACCGACAACTGTTTCATCCTTACCCAGTGAGGCAGGTGTTTATGATCCTCCTTTAATGACCGAGCCTGGAGAAACCAAACCACTGGTCAGAATGATAATCTTGGGACTTCATTCTGACCCCAGGTTTCATTTTTTCTTTCTCTGTTAACAATGAACTTTACAGCCAGATGTGGTGGCACATGGCTGCCCACCACTTGGGAGGTGAAGGCAGGAGAATCATGAGTTCAAGGCCAGTTTTGGCTACGTGAGACTAGCTTTAAAAAAGGGATTTACTGGGGGTTTAATACTCTTGTGCCTCAGGCATGTAATACCATCTGTATTCTCCTTGTGAAAGAAAGAAAGAAAGAAAGAAAGAAAGAAAGAAAGAAAGAAAGAAAGGAAGGAAGGAAGGAAGGAAGGAAGGAAGAAAAAAGAAAAAAAGGAAAGGAAGGAAGAAAAAGAAAAGGGGAAGGAAGGAAGAGAGGGAGGGAAAGAGGGAAGGAAGGAAGGAGGGAGGGAAGGAGGGAGGGAGGGAGGGAGGGTAGGAAGAAGGGAGGAAGGAAGGAAAGGGTCAAGGGCGAGCTGTCTGCTGCTCAAGAGCACTGGATCCAGGCTCACCTCCAAGCACCCACACGACTGCTCTCAATTATCTGAAACTCCAGTCCCAGAGGATCCAACAGCCTTTTCTGGCTTCCTCATGAACTAGGTAGGTATGCTTGTGGTGTATAGACATGCATACAGGCAGAGCACCCACACACGTAATTTATTTAAAAACTTAAAAACGAAAAAAAAAAAAAAGCCAGGCAACTATGATGGCATTCATATGTAATCCTAGCACTCAAGGGCTGATGTGGGAGAACTGCCAATCAAGGCCAGCCTAGACTGTGTGTGAGATCCTGCCTCGATGAAGCAGAAGGGATGTAATAACGACACCCGCCCTCTCACACATACATACTGGGTGTTTTGCAGGTTCAGTATGGTTTTGGTAGCTGTCAGCTTCTATCTTTTGAAAACAGGGACTAACTTACATTTCTCAGCATCCCTAGGCTAAGCAGATGTTAAATTCCTAGTACCCTCTCTCCATTTATAGTTAAATAATAAAGGGCCTCTCCACTGGCTATTCTTCCCGCGTCCACAGCATGTGCCCAACTACTTTCAGGAAGCAGTTGGGAGTGTGAACTCCATGGCAGAACAGTTGCAAAGAATTTGCAAGGCCATGGGTTCCAGCTATACAAAAGAAAAAGCCATGAGTGGGAAAGTTGGAGAAGCAAATTAGATGCCAGAAACAGGACCGGGGAGAGGTGGAAGGGGACACAGGAACACGGGCAGAATCACTGCCCGAGAAGGGATGAGCTTACTTCTTGAAGTTTGGTGGAGGTAGGATATTGCCATGGGCATCGAGTGGAGGGACCCTTAGTTCACTCCTCAGCTTGAGTTTCTCCACTTCCTTCAGCTCCTTCACTGTTCTCACAATGATCTGCTTCTTTCTGTTGATGTCCACGAAGATGGGGGTAGCACTGAGGAAGGTTAGGAAGCTGTGTGGGCCCATCCAGGAAGGAGGAGGGATGCCAGGCTGTGCAGCAGGGAGGCGGTGGGCATTGGAGTGAGTCAAATAGCGCCAGACATTGCTATCATAGGGTACGTCTGGTCTGGTGGGGAAGGTAGCAGGCAAACGTCCCACATCCAGCCATGTGTGAAAGCCCCAGGTGTGCTCAGCTGCATCCTTCCAAGGACAGAGTACCTGGCGACGCACCTTAGACTTCAACTCTGTGCATGGTGGCTGCTTCAGGGCCAGCTTGTGGTAGCCTTGCATGGTGAAGCCCGGGAACTCCCTGGTCTCTTTGGGGAGGAGGAACTCACGCTGAGTCCAAGTCTGATAGGTTGGGAAGGATTCTCTGGCATGGATCATCTAGGGAGACATGAAAGGAAGCCTAGAATGGTTGTGCCAGCAGAGAACCAGGATGTGGCAGAGGTGCTCTGCTTTCCCTCTCAGGCACAAGGAAAGCCTCCTCCAACCCAGGACTCATCAGGATGACATGGCCTCTCTCCATTCCCACTCTCTCAGAAATGCACATGTATATATGTGTGGAAGTCAGGAGACAGCTTCGGATGTGGCTCCCCATCAGTCATCCATTTGAGACAGGGCCTCTGGGAATTACTGATATGGCTACCCTGACTGGCCATCGAGCCTCAAGAATCCACTTCTCCCCACCCCAGTCCCCAGCCCAGGGATGACAAGTGTTACCATGCAAAACCGTAAAAGAAAATTACTTGTAAACGTATTTATTTTTGTTTTATGAGTGTTTTGCCTGCAAAATATATGTGTGTATTGTGTGGTAATCCCAGAGATCAGAATCCAGGGGATCAAATGGAGTTAAAGACGGTCATGAGCCGATCTCTGGGAATCTAATGTGGGTCTTCTTCAGGAGCAGCAAACGCTCTTAACCACGGAGCCATTTCTCTAGCCCTATGCAAAGGTTTTTTCTGAGTTCTCAGGACTGAACCCTGGTCCTCGTGCTTGCATAGCAAGCAAGACTGAGCTGTCTCTCTTAATTTTGTCAGCTTGACAGGTTCTAGAACAGAGGATGCAAGCCTGTGGCACACGTGAAAGGACTATCTGGACTAGGTCAACTGAGGTAAAGAGCTGCACTGACCCTGGTGCCACCATGCCACGGGTAGGGTCTTAACTGAACAAACAGCAGAGAGCAAACTGAGCACCAATAATTCCTCTGATTCATGTCAACAATGTGAACACCTGCCTTGAGCTCCTGCCATGATACTATAGGCCTGAACTGTGAGCCCAAATAAGCCCTTCTTCCCTTTGCTTTGCTTGTGAGGTATTTTGTTTCAATGAGGCAAGTAATTGCCACAATCCAGAAGTTACTGTACCATCCTCCATAAGAGTCCCACAGCTATCAAATCTCACTCTCCATTGGTCACATTTTGGCTTTGATGTCCCATTCTCTCTCCTTTCACATCATATACACATACATACATGTGTGTGAATGTGACTTGCCTACGTGTATGCCTGTGTACAACATACATGCCTAGTGGCAGACGCCAGGAAAAGGCATCAGATCCCCTGGAATTGGAGTTGAGATGGTTGTGAACAACCATGTAGGTAGGTGCTGGGAGCCTGTGTCCTCTGGAAGAGCAAGCAGTGCTTTTAAAGACTGAGAACCTCTGCAGCCCTGACGTGCTTGAACACTTTAATGTTTATTTAGTGTATGTGTGTGGAGGGCAGGGGACAATTTACAGAAGCCACTCCTATCATTTCTGGAGAACTGAACTCGGGTTCAGGTTCGGTGATTACCGGCCCCCAACTTTCACTTTTCACCACTCACCTTGATTCTGATGTCCTCTTATGTGTCCCGGTAGACACATTGGGCCTAGGGGATGACCCATGCCGGGTATTCTGAAAGCCTACCTTCCCCTTTCCTGGTCCTGGAGACACCTTAGGAAGTTTCCCAAAAGGAGGCTTCCTATGCCAGAGTCCGCTTATTACTTGTTCTATCATGGACATCTTCCCTCACTTCTCATTAAAGGTCAGTTGGTCTAGAAAGAATCTAGAATGTTCTTTCACCTTTTTTGTGCCCTCTTCCCTACACCCTCATGAATAAATGTCCAAATCTGCTTTGTGTAAAGTCTCCCTCAAAGGCCTGTATAAAAGTCGGTTCCAGTCTGAGGACTGATTGGGAGGTGGTAGAAGGTTGGGAGGCCTTAGTGGAAATTAGGCCACTGGGGACAGGCTCTTAAGGGGGACAGTGGGACCTGGGTCCTTCCTCTTTTCATGCCCTTTCTCCATTTGCTGCCTCACAGGACTAGAGCAGCTAGGCCAAATGACCATATAGCGAAAGAAGCCTCTACCAAGAGCCCAGGTGAACCTGTCTTGAGTTATCACAAGTATTTTGTCACAGCAGTAGAAAACCGACAAGTCCCTATGTCAGATGCAGAAAGACCCTGTTGCAGTAAGGAATTCACACAGGGTCTCAACTGAGTAGGAGAGTTCAGGTTTAAGCTGTGTTCAAACTCAGTGAAACATGGCAAGGAGCTTGTTCATAGCCCAGGACAAGTATGTCCTCCCTCTCAGCCACTCTAGGGCTTTCCTCATTCCAAGACCCCCACCAGTTTCTTCAGCACTATCCCTAAGTCTTATTTCTTAAAAACAAAAGACCTAGTGCATGTGTAAACACATGCACATGTCCCAGCATGCACTCGGAGGTTGGAGGACAGCTGTAGGAGCCTGTTCTTCACCATGTGGGTTCTAGAGCTGGAACTCAGGCTGTCAGCACGGCAACTGTTCTCAGCACCTGAGCCGACTCACTGGCTGCTTCATTTGTTCTCTCCTTCCTTCCTTCTTTTGGTTTTGTGAGATAAGGTCTCACTTGTAGCCCTGGTGGAGCAGGCTGGTCAATGCTAAAATTACAGGCATGCCCCCCTGGACCCGACTCCCTAAGTCTTCTACAAGAGCACCCAGAGGAAAGGTCTGTGAACTAACACAAACATGCCTAGTTTATCCCAGGCATGACAATAAGTGCTTGTGACCCCAGTCAGGAGGCAGAGCTCCACAGGTTTGGCAATAACCTGGCCCAGGTGTGCATTTCAACCAAAGCTATATAGGGAGATTCTGTATCAAAATTAAATTCAAACAAAACCAAAACTGGTCATAATGACACGGATCTATACTGTCAGCTCTTGGGAAGGTTGAGACAGGGATACTGCAGGCTAATAGTATCAGGCCAGCACAAGTTACATAACCAGACAGCCTCAATAAAACTCTTAAAATCTGAAAATGTTATATCACAAATGCTGAAAAAATATCCCCCCCAACCCCCTCCTGGGCAAAGGCATGGGGTCTCAAGTGGGAAATTCCACATTAGATCTTTGTGATAAGCCTCAGTCAAATCATAGACATCCTAAAAGTACTGCATGCATTAAATCACCTTCAGGCTGTGTACAAGGTACATATGAAACAAAGGAATTTTATATTAAGTTCGGGGTCCTTTCCCAAGATAGTTAGACATACAAACACATACTCCAAAATCTGAAGAGAAATCCCAAAGCTAAGCACACTTCTGATCCCACTTTAGATAAGGCCTCTTCAACCTTAGCCAGGCTCCTCCTTTCTGTTCTGAGCTCCAAACTCAGGGTACCACAGGATGAAAGCAGAAGACAGCTTATGTACTACTGCTCAGGACAACCTGAAAGGCTGGCTGCAGAGTTGGGCCCCACTCTACCTTCAGGAAAGGCTCCCGGGTATGAGACACATGACTCAGGCCTGGCTTTTGGAGGGATGTTCTCTTCGGGCTGTTGGCCATTATTCCTCTGAGCCACAGAGCCAGGAGAGGAGGCTTTGGAGGAAAGCCCTTTCTGGTACCATTGTTTGCTGCGAGGGTTGCTATGGTGACGCCTCCTGACTGGTGCTGCTGGGAGGCCCTTGCCTGTCCTGGGAGGCTCCTCAGTCCCTGATGCTTTTCTTGTGAGGCAGGGAGGGGGCAGTGCTGTCAGTCCTGGTTACAAACTTGGTAATAGGAGCAGCTCAGGGAGAGCCTTGCCTGGGAAGGCTCAGGAACAGGAGGCAGGCTGGCTCCCAGGCTTGGAGCTGGAATAGAGGTCGTAATGAGACACCTGCAACAGGCTGGCTTCCTGGCCTGAATGTTGAATGGAATAGGAGGGAAATGGAGGACTACAACTGCTGTTGATACCAAGGGATCAACAAGGACCTAAGTCAGATTCTGGTCCCATGGAACAAGGTCTGGGGTAGCAAAGAGGTGGGCAGTGCAGGGAACAGAGGGAAAACTGAACTCTGTGGACAAGATCTCATGTAGCTTAAACGGCTGATCCTCCTGCCTCTACCTCTCAAAGGCTGAGATTATGGATATGAAGCATCAGACAAAACTGGCAATTTCAGAGTCAAAGAAAGATGTGGGAGGGACCACCTGTGAAAGGCCCATGCAGCAGGGACAGGCCCATCATCTCCAGGCTCCACCCCTCATTTCAATTCCGAGGCCAGTGGCACCCAGGCTTTATTCAGTAGGTAGTTACAATAGTGTCTTGTGCTAGCTTGTAGGGTCTAGGGTGGCTTTTTGCAAAGCTCAGGTGTAAGCTAAGGAAACCAGGCAAGTCAGGGGTCACTTCCTCCTTCTCAGGCCTCAGCCTGAGCTGAGCTCTCAAGGCTGCTGGATCCCTGGCATGATTGGGAACACTGTCAGAGAAACAGCTAACAGGACTCATGAGTATCCATGCTTCTGCTTCAGGCACACCCATCCCCCTCCACCCAAATCCAATAGGCTTTTACAGATTTCTTCTTGCAGTACCACTGGCTTGGAGACATGGGGAGCTGTGAGGAAAGGGCGGTAAGCGGGATCCTGGCAAGGCGATGACCTGCATGTCTAGAAGCCTACAGCAGAACCCACAGGTGTGGAGAGACTGCACTGCAGGTCCTTCCCCAAAGGCCACAAGCAGAAGCAAAGTGCAACCCCATGTCACCCTACCAATCCTGGCCATCTCTGGATACTGAGCTAAGAAAATATGCTCACACTTATAATTACAGGACAACTTGGGGAACTGACACCATTTACAAGGGTTATCCTGCCAGGAGCAGCAGGTGACTAATGGGCACTTCCTGGTCCTCTCCCCTCGTCACACCCACTTCACTTGCCAGCAGGGAGTGGAGGACTCTGACTCTGGGAGATCCTATTGCTTGCATAGGTCCCAGCAGTGGCTTAGATGTGGCTATCATCTTGACATAATTAGGTCAAAGGGCACAGCTCAGCCCTTGCCTGCTAGCTTTCCTCAGGCGAACTGGGGCACACTGAGCCTTGTACTATCCAGCCACCCAAGTGCCAGGATAGCAGGCGGCTTGAGTGGCAAGGGAAGACCTTGCCTCTATCGCAGCTCAGGGATGAACTGAGACCAGTTGATGTTGTCAGGGTACAGAGGGTCCTCCTCCAGGCCAGGAAAACTGATGTCTAGAAGGATCTTGCTGAGGCTATCATTCATTGTGTCCAGGACAAGGCCTTCTGTGAGAGAACGGTTGACTGAAAGGCTGGGAACCTGCGGCTCGGGGGAGCCAGGCTTGGGGACTTCCAGATGTGGTGGTGGAGAGCTGCTAAAGGGGTCAGAGGCGAGGTCAAAGGCTTCTGAGTTAAGGAGCTCCCGGGGTGAGTCAAAGAGGGGAACACTTTTCAGAGGTGTGGTATTCAGCTCCATCAACCCCAGCGAGTCAGGCAGAGGGCCAAAGGCACCCTGAGGGGTTCGTACTGGGCTGAAATCTAACCCCCCAACTTTGGCTGGAGGTGTGAGCCTCCAGGACTCAGGGTCTCTAGAGAGCACAGATTTGCTAGGAGTGGAGGAGACAGGCAATGTCTCCTTGATGGGGGTCTTGAAAGGTCCTCCCTCCTCCTGAGGGCAGCTGAGCTGGGGTGCAGGCTCTGAAGACTCTGCTAGGAGCTCCATGGCTGGCCGGAATGTGCTGGAGTCCTCTGAGAAGAACAGTTCCGGCTCATCCAGACAGGGGGGCTGAAGGTGCTGCTTCCTCCGGGATCGGCTCACCTCCCTCTTCTCTCTTCGCTTAGTCACCAGCATTTCTGAGACACACCGAGTTGGGGACTTGAGCCCACAATAGGACTTCTTGGGCTTTGGGGTAGGAGAGCAGGAAGAATCTTCCCAGGAGTTGGATAGTTCCTCTTTCAGTGATGCACATGGAGAAGGCCACTCTTCCAAGGGCGGGCTCTCCACTTTGATAGGCCTCTCTAAGTGTGGTGTGTCCTCCCCAGGCTGGATTTCTTCTTCCTTAATAGACTGAATAGGAAGCAAAGGCAACAGCCCTTCTCCAAGCAGGGGTTTCTCCTCCTTCAGTGGTTCTGTGGCAGGAAGTGGGGCTATCCCTTCATTGGATAGCAACACTTTGGGTGCAATGCGGACTCGCTTGCTATGACGGGCAAGCTCTGAGCTCATAAGAGATGCTGCCAGAGGCAACGGAACCTTCACTGAGGGCTGTAATACCAGGGACTGGTTCACTGGGAACTGGATGGGCACCAGGTATGAGCTAACCCGTGGGAGCAGCGGCTTCATCTTTCGCCCTAGGAGGAAGCAGAAGAGATCAGAGGTAGCAATGCTAGGGGTCTACTACCTCCCACTCCAGGAGCACTGCTCAACTGTGGACTCAAACTCCTTTTGAGTTAGAGACACAACCCAAAGATGGCCCCAGAACCAGGTTTGGGCGCGTCTGAGACGCTGTCTCATACTCACGTGCGCCCAGTGGGAGTTCAGTTTTGATGGTCACATTTCTACGGAGCTCAGGATTGGGTCGTTTCTGCTGCTGCTTATTGGGAGAGAAAGAAACCTGGACTAGTAAGGTAAGGGGAGAAGCAGAATCCCACCAACCTGAGCTGATGCAGAAACCTTTCTGGCCTAAAAACCCAGAAAGAAAAGCTGGTTTGAATGATGGATGCAGGTAGGTACAGTCTATGAAGCCATGCTGAGGGGACAGGTGAACAACAGACAAATGAGGGAGGCCAGGACAATGCTACACCTGACCCATGGTACTCCCCACCCCCAGGGAAATGCAGTTAACTATCTGAGACAGAGACAAGCCACGCTGAGAGACCAGGCTGCTGCCTGCAGGGCCCACCACTGCCCGCAGGACCCACACCGTGCACCTGTCCTGGCAATGGCAGGTCTGGCAGCACCCACTCTGCTCTGCTCAGCACACCTTTGTGGTACTGTGTTCAGGTTAGCAGCCACAGGGCCAACCACAGTCCCCTCCCCACGCCACAGTGTCTCTGCCCACTAAAGCCATGCTGAGCAGTGAAGGGAAATAAGGCCAAGCCCCGAGCCAGAGGAGAAGAATCTTACTGATTCCAAGTGCTCGGGCGATTGTGGAGACCCTGGTTCCAGTGGCTGGTGGCGGCCAGGCATCGAAGGAGAGAAACGAAATGAAGTTACCACAAATGTGGTCAACCTACCCAGACTAGGGAGAAACCTACTGTCGAAGGGACACCATGGAAAACGTTTCCCTTCCAGAAGAACAAACATTACAGCAACAGCATCCTTACGGGTACCTACAAGTTCTCAACACGACAGCTTTTTTCTGAAAACGTGTTCTTATGGATCCATTTCTGGTCTCTAGACATAAAGAAGGGCTTCTTTGGCAAGGTTGAAAATATAAATTATGGGGCTGGAGAGATGGCTCAGTGGTTAAGAGCACTGACTGCTCTTCCAAAGGTCCTGAGTTCAATTCCCAGCAACCACATGGTGCCTCGCAACCATCTGTAATGGGATCCGATGCTCTCTTCTGGTGTGTCTGAAGATAGATAGCTACAGTGTACTCATATACATAAAATAAAATCTTAAAAAAAAAAAAAAAAGGAAAAGAAAGAAAATACAAATTACAAAGCTAGGGGGACGGGTCAGTGAGTAAGAGAGCTTGTTGTACCAAGCATAAGGATTTGAGTTCAGATCCCAGGATCTACATTTAAAAAGGGCTAGGGGTGGCCTTGTATGTGTCTATAACCCCAGAGCTATGAGGGGTAGGGGTAGAGATAGGTGGATTGAAGCGGTTTGCTGACCCCAGCGTAGCTTCAGGTTCCACGAGAGCCATCCCAAGGAAATAAGAGTGATAGAGAAGGACACCCAAGGTCTTGCCTCTACACATGCACTGGTAGGTGTGCTTGCACACAGACACCCTAGCCTGCTAATCAGAACCCCAAGTAAGAGACCTGGAAGCTGTACTGTAACAAGTGTCTACGTACAGGGAGTTACAGAAAGACTCCTCTATTTAGACCAGAACAGTTTTCTTTACTCTCTGGTCTAGTGCAAGGACTGTCACTTGGTATCTGTCAGCTGTCCCTGGCTCACGGCATTACGTTAAGTGATTAATTGGGTGACTGGCTTCTAGCTCTTCTTCAGTCAGAGAATGTCAGGAGTGACGTTGCTCCTTTACAGAAGGCTCAGTAACCACTGACTGGCTCTCCAGATGAAACAAGGCACTCACCTTAAACACTTGGTCCAATGTCAAGTAGCGATTGGCACTTGGGTGAATGGTCCAGAAGGAGACCTTGCCATTGGCAGATGTCTCTCGAACAAACATGTCATGGAGAGAAAGGTTGTGTCGAATAGAGTTCTGAAAGAGACAGATACGCAGTTATCAGTTCAGTTAGCTTTGAAAACATTGCCCTTGGAGTGAGTTGGGAAAGACCAGGAAATCTACTATGTTTAACAGAGATTTTGCTCTGGTCCTTGCAATGTCACCTGTTGGCAACCCCCTTCCTGATACGCCACACCACACCACAGAGCTAACCTCAGCCACACATCCAAG